GTAGGTGATGGCCCCACTAGGGGATGCTGGCATGGCTGGGCCCGGGCAGGTTCCACTAGGAGGGACCTGACCACCAGATCCATGAACCTCAATCCCAGGCCTGGCTCCACGGTGAGCTTCAGCCTACGTCGTACCAGGTGACGTCATGTGCATCAAACTTTTTGTGATCATGGGGGCTTTTGATCTGCACTTTGTCTGACCGGTCAGCCACAGCAATTCTGCCTTGGCAGACGCTACCAGGGGCATTGAAGTCTCTGCAATCATCCGGGAACTGAAAGCAATGTTTGGAATTAAGCTTAAATATAAACATACAATGAAACCTGAACAAATTATAAAAAATGAAACCTGAATTCACTGAATCAAACTCTGAATATTACATCCAGAAAATATTGAATTATTGACAATTCAAGCGAATGCCTTGCGTCGCCACTTGCTCATCCAGGAGGAGTGAATCCTGGAAAGTCAACTGGAAAGTCGGTTGGTTTACCGTAGATAGAAAACTAAGGTAAGCCAATCTGATTTGATGATCTCTATGAAGAACGTTACGGTGCACGTTGTAAAATTTGCATTATACAAACAAACTGAATTGAACTGTATTATTAAACCGTGAGTTTAATAGTGTTTATTTTTTTTCCAGCTTTTGTCATTACATTGTCTCCAGTACAGAGCAACAAAATGAATTCTCTGCATTTAACCCATCCCCTTGTGGAGCAGTGGGCTGCCATCATGAGGCGCCCAGAGAGCAGAGTGGGGTTGAAGGTCTTACTCAGGGACCCAGAGCGGCAGTCTGTGGGAGTGGGGTTCAAACCAGAACCTCTGGATTCCAAGTTCAATGCCCTAACCACTAGGCTGCCACTCCCCAGTCTCAGAAATCCCTAAGATCCAGTATTCCCACTGCTCAATATTTGCTCTGATCCGTATTGCTTCAGCTGCCATTAACGAGTGTTGTTCAGTTCCGGTTGGATCTACAGATAAACAACGACCCACAGACAACTCACTCTTTTTTTTCCCTTTGTCTTGTCTTTGTTTTGAAGAAACCACTCTAAAGTAACTATATTTGGAGGCACTTCTGTTCCAACGATTGCAGGAATAGGGACACGACGAAAAAATTACCCATAGAGGAGAATCATTTATGAAGTCAAGCCTTTTCTTTAATGATTTGAGAGGCCTCCCCCTTGAACAGAAAAAACACCGGTTGGACTGGAACCAACATGAAGAGACGAGTGATTGAAAGCCTCGTTAGTGACGATAAATGGCAGCAAATTAGCTCTAATACAGATTTCACTCAAGTTTTATTCTGCACATTTCAGTGGAAAGTAAATGGTTAAAAGCAAAAAAAAAAGTCCGTCCGCCCACCTCCTCTTCTTAAAGAACTGGTCCAGCTCGTTAAACTTGCTAAAGTTCTGATTGCATCATTCTTTAACTACTAAATGTCATTCTCTCATGACACAGAGACCTCAAAACGACACTTTGATGTGTTCTAATTGGCAGTCTGAGTTTCTGTGGAACACAGAAACGGGTTTACCTCTAAAACTTGGCCTGTATCCTTCATTCTTTGGGTTCTGACAAGTCAAGTCTTTTCAACGGCATTCATCTCCACAGGATGATGCCGCTCCCCCCGTGCTTCGCCGTGAGGAGGAAGTTAAGTAATGACTGCTGCTTCTGCCATGTACCAGCCTCAACCCCCCACAGAGTTTCAACGAGTCCAGATGTGTTGGCCTAGTGGTTAGAGCAGTGCGCTTGTGCTCCTAGAAGGTTGCAAGTACCTGGTTTGATCCCAACAGACTGCCTCTTTGGGTCCCTGAGCAAGACCCTTAACCCCACACTGCTCCCCAGTCGCCGCACAATAGCAGCCCACTGCTCCCTGAGGGGATGTGTTAAATGCAGAGGCAAAATTCTCCAGTGTGAGATTAATAAAGTTCAATTATGATTATTATTATAGATAAACCTCTTGGAATGTTTACTTAAATATTGACTAAACTAAACCAAACATATCATTAGAAATGACTGTAAATCTAGCTGCTGAATAGGTGAGAACAAAAGCCAAACAGAGAACAGGACTAAAGGTGAAATAAAATCGGATTATAAAAGCTCTGAATGTGAATTAAAATCATTTAAAAAAAATCACACAGACACAGAATGCTCTCATAATATGTTTTGATTTTCAGAAAAGAAACATTTCTGGTCCTGCAGCATTGTTGAAGGATCAAGGCAGTTCCTGGGAAAGAAAACAAACGCTTATTTGTTTTTTTTCTCATGCCTCTTATAAAACTTTCTGCTTTTCTGCTTGAATCTCCATGGTGACCACATTCGTGTTTATATCAAACAGTGACCACTCTTCTTTAAAAGAATCCTATCAGTGATATAGATGAGAGCCACAGACACTGGCAGGGTTTCTGCGGTTGGAGCGTCAGCGATGGAGACCGGTCGGTCTGTAAAATCTAAAAAAATCCACTACTGCTGCTCCAGTACCGACTGATCACTTACTTTAGGGTGCTAAAATATTCTAAGTCCCTAATTTGTTTGTTGTACTCTAGCTGTTTGTAAAAAAAAAATAATAACATGTATTTTCATTAGTTTTACACTTTTTTGTTAAGTAAATAATTCAACATGTGTTAATTCATAGTTTTGATGTCTTCAGTGTGAATCTACAATCTTCATAGTCATGACAATAAAGAAAACCTTTTGAATGAGAAGGTGTGTCAAACGTTTGGTCTCTACTGACCAAACGTCTCTACGACAGATATTTCTTCCTTAAAGGAATAGTACACCCAAAACATGATTAGCCTTCATTTTCTACTCACCCCCATGCTGAACAACACTCTGGAGTACTTTTTTGATATCTCAAATGCATCTGGAGATCTGGGAGGCTTCTTGCTGTCTGCTGACATTCAAATAATGGAGGTCTATGGCGCCCGAGGCAGAAAGGTCCATAAAAGTCCACAAAAACGTGTCAATATTCCTCCATACTGCTCGTCCAATGTATTCCAAGTGTCCTGAGTGGGTAGCGTCCAGAATTTACTCAAAACGAAGTCATTTAGAATGTTTTTAGAGCATAAACGGTAGTGTATAGGATTCCCTAAACGCAAGTTCACGAGTCTACGGAAACCGCGGCAGACCAACCCAGATGAAAGTGCGCATTCAGCTCGGCAAAGAACTCATGCTCTTCCTCAACACTGAAGTCATCAGACAGTTTTCTTTCGTTGTTTCTTTCTTTGCACAGGTAAACAGCACATTTCTTCTTCTACGCTTGCATTATTGGCAGAGCAGACGCTGAATGCGCACTTTCGTCTGGTTTGGTCTGCCGCGGTTTCCGTAGACTCGTGAACGTGCTTTTAGGAAATCCTATACACTACTGTTTATGCTCTAAAAATCTCCAGATGCATTTGAGATATCAAAAAAGTACTCCAGAGTGTTGTTCAGCATGGGGGTGAGTAGAAAATGAAGGCTAATCATGTTTTGGGTGTACTATTCCTTTAACTTGACCTCAGCTCTTCAACCATCCCCTGTCTGTTCTCATGCAGACACTCTGCAGAGGTAAAGTCATGCAGGAGTGCCTCCCCCAGTCTTTGTTATTTTTTTTTCCCCTTTTTTATGCTGCTATAGGCTTAGACTGCTGGAGGACATAGGGACCCCTTTTTCATCATTCTGCTTCATTCTATCTCTATTCTCCCACTGCAGAATCTGTTAGTTCAATCTCTAACGTTCTGCTCTCTCTGCTTTTTCTCATAGTAGCTTCATCTGGTCTGTTCCTGTTTGGCTGTGACTCCATCCTGGAGAGAAATATCAGCTGTGCTGCTGCCATCAACACCTTTGTTTCTAGATGTTGGAGCTTGGCCTGTTTTGCAGTGTAGTCCTGTTTCTCTGACTGTGACTAACTGGATGTGCTCTCTTCATCCTCTGACATGGGAGCTGGCTCGGAGCTCGTCTGCCTGGCTGTGTGTTTCCTGGACGGGGCCGCCTGTGGAGCTGGTTGACGGTTGCCTTTTGTATCTATGCTTCTTTTTCTATGTCTGCTTCTGTCTCCTTGAACCCCAGTGGGCCTCAGCGGATGGCCGCTCACACTGAGCCTGGTTCGGCTGGAGGTTTCTTCCTGTTCAAAGGGAGTTTTTCCTCTCCACTGTCGCTACAAGCATTCTTAGTGTGAGGGATTGCTGAAGAGTCAGTGAGTCGATGCATAAAACTGGTTTTCCTTAGATAGAAAACTTTGAATCAATGATCTGCTGAACTGGAAAGTGCCTTGAGACGACATGATGTGAATTGGCGCTATAGAAATAAACGGAATAGAATTGAATCTCTTTTTTGTTGCAGTTGTAATTCATTTAAATTCAATGTAGGTATTCAAACATGGAAATCTTACCCAGATTCTAAGTGTCGGAATCTTTATGTTGCTTTTCAAATAAAGTCAAAGTGAAAATATTTAGAGCTACCTTTTAAAAGTATTTAGTATTTCACCTGTTAGTAGGTGTGTATCTCACTGCCGTTGTTATTGAAAGAGTTAAATGTGGGAAAATAGTTCATTTTTAGTCAAAGTAAGATTCTTGCAGACAAAAATCTAACTTAATCCCAATTATAAGCAGTTTGGGAGTAAAACTATGACTAAGACCAGCAAACTGACTAAATTTTCACTAAAAATTATTTCAACTTTCAAATTACTGAACTCCTCATAACTTTCTACTGATGAAATGTGGTGCATATTCATGTTTCGCAACAATTAATTAACAAACTCTTTGCTTATATGCACACCAAAACAGATCCGTTGAACCTGTCTGCATTAGTGCACAGCAGCAAATTGTAATAAGTCATTTTTTCTTGAACTGAAGTGGCAAGTGAGACATTTTCCCAATGGAACACGACAATTTACATTCAAAATACGTAAAAAAAAAACAGTTGCATTGTCTTATTTCCAGTGCATATTATCTAATTATCTTATTTTAAGATAAAAAATACTCCTTCCATTGGCAAAGAGACATATTTACCTGCTCAAATTAAGGGTAAATATACTTGATTTAAGGAACTTTTACTTATTTCTAGATCGTTTTTGCAGTGTGGCATCAAGCTAACTGTCTTTTTGGTGAAACCTAGGAGACGTGGCGGGACATGTTGGACAGATATGGCCGTTCAGAGTTTTATGGAACCCCTCAGCTTCTTTTTGCAGCATAAAAATTAGTCTTTTGAGAGCGTTCATCCCGTTCGCCAATATATGGGACGATGAGAAAGTCCAGTCGGTCTGCAGCACTGAGAACTTTGGACTCCATCGGATCAAACAAGTGGAAAGTTCACTGGGATGTATCAACTTTTTGCCGTAGTCTGAAAATTATCCAAGCTGCTCTCCTGGAAAAAAGGAAAAGAAGGCAGGATCTTAAAGAACAATCAAGGCTGGAAGCTTCCATGAACAAGAGGAACTCAGATTTGTGCTGATCTAACAAAGAAGTCTCTGCTTCAGAACCCAGAGGCAGACCAGAGAAACCCTGAAGTGTTAGACATGACAGCAAGAAGGATGTTTGGAGGAGCCCAAAAGTTTAACCCTTTCTAGGCCACTCAGTGAAATCCTTTGAAAATCTAAATTTAGAGCCAATAGTGTTATTGGAATCCAGGACAAGACGTTTTTATCTTTGTAACATTCAAAAAATATGCATATCTTGATGGATAAATTGTGTGTCAATTTAATAACAAGAAACGGCAACTTCCCCGAATATATTAAGAAAAAGTAACAAAAAATGCATTAAAAACACATTTTTTTGGTCCAACATAAACTTAGAGACATTAATGCTGATATTGGCACTTACATTTTTTTAGTTTATAAACCTTTTCAATTAACCGTTTACCTTTTGTCTTGACTTGTTAATTTTTGTTAATTGTTCATTTTTTTCCAACTTAATTTCCAGTGGGTAATATATCATTTAAGGGCTCATCTAATTTGTCAAATGCCAAAATAAGATGTACAGCCATGTAGCAGAATCTTTGCTGAATGGCTGGATATAGATATTGTGCTTCTAGAACTCACTGAGGGACTGAGGGTCCTTTTGTAAGGGGTATGCAAGTGATGAAAACTGGTAAGTTGCTCTATAAAGGGATAAACCTGAAAACAGGCATGGTAGTGGCAGCATCATGCAGCGGGGCGGTTTCACCACAAAATGAATAACTCTGTGTTTGAAACCCGGATAGAAAAACCCACAAAATCAACCCATTATTGACAAAAAAAATCTCCCCTTCTCAGGAATATTTAAATATATTTATAAACGGAGAGGTGAACATAAAGGGCATCAATTAAATCCTTTTTTTTAAACTTCTATCTTTGATCTAAATTTCTGAATTCCTTTTAATAAACATAAGAGCCTCATATTTTTAGCGAAAAACTGATTTATAGCATGTCATAAGACTTTTATATGTGTTATGCAAAAGTTAGCCTGAGGCTTATCATGACTGGTTCAGCAGGTTATTCAGTGTTTATTCACTAAAAAGTTTTTGATCTTCAGCCAAAGACAAAGATGAGGGTTAGAAACACCAACACTCCTTCCTGATGATTAAAAGTCAACAGTTCAGCCTTTTGTAAACTTTGCCAAAACATTTTTCTCTTGTTGTAATCCTCCATGATTAATGATTTAATGATTAAAGTTCCTAAAACTTCTGGGGGATTTCATCTTCATTAAAGAATTGGTTTGAAACTACAAGTGAAAATCTGATTTATAAACCACAGCTACAGGTTTGTAATTTACAGCAAGAAAGTGAAAGTTGGTTACATAACTCCTTCTACACCGCCTGCGCCATCTTTGTTATTAGTGGCCGCTGTCAGGTAGCAACAGCCTATGGCAGGGGTGGGCAATTCCAGTTCCTGAGGCCCAGTATCCTGAAAGTTTTATATCCATCCTTTATCAAACACACCTGAAGCAAATGGCTGAGTTACCTCCTCAGTATGCAGTCAGTTTCTCACAAGTCCTCTCAATCAACTAATTACTTGATTCAGGTATTTTGAACCAAAGCCACATCTAAAAGTTGAAGGATACCGGCCCCCAGGAACTGGAATTGCCCACCCTTGGCCTATGGCGACAGCAGGCCACTATGACAGCAAATCCCATAATGCTTAGCGAGGAGAGCTCTCCTCAAAAAGCATTCTGGGATATATCTGCCTCTTCTGAGGTCTTTCTTTTCTTCTCATACACTTCGTAGACACCTTTTCTCTCCCGACCCTCGGCCATTTTCAAAGAACCGCGGTGAGAAAGGTGAGCTTCAATGACTGAAACCGTAGCTCACCACAGATATACGCCTGAAACTGTGCAGAAAAAGCTAGCTAACGGGACGAGCACGTAGGACGGCCTTACGTAAACATATCACCAGAATGATTGACAGTTAGGAGGACCACTTATTGAGATGATCCACCTGGAAATAAAAGATTGTCCTCTATTCCTTTAATGTTTATTACTGAAGTAGAAGTATAAATCCTACGGTTTTGTAGAAGTTAGAGGATCAACTTAAGGTTTTTACTCAAGTAAAAGTGTAAAAGTACCATTTTTGAACCTACTTAAAGTATAAATGTAAAAGCAAATGGCCGCTCACACTGAGCCTGGTTCTGCTGGAGGTTTCTTCCTGTTCAAAGGGAGTTTTTAAAACTACTTAAAGTATAAAACGTAAAAGTAATGCAGGAAAAACTGTTAAGGCCAGAAGCTTTACTGCTCTACCTTATTAAAGGAACAGTTTTCTACAATTGTAGATGATAACTTCCTTAGACTTTATTTTCTTAGTTTTATAACTAATGGTAGCAGAGTCACATTTAACTTTCCATCATCTTGAAAAACGATTTATTTTGGTTTATGGTGAGCAACAAGTTGGGGCAGCACCGAGTCCAACCATAAAGAAATTAATTGTCTGGATAAAACTAATTATTTTTGATGATTTTTATCCTTTAAATACCAACAGGCCATAATGAAAATTAGCTTAAATGTAACAAAATTCAGTCTATTTTTAAAATGGTTAGGGTTAGCAGTAGAAAGTAAAGTTATTAGGTTATTAAGTAAATAAAAAGTTGCCTAAAAAATAATCACACTAGCAAAGTATAGATAGCCAACTTTGTTATTTGATGCCTCTGCCCATGATATTAACAAATGTACCATTGAAATAAAAAGACGGAACATTTATTTAGTATCTAAAATGTATTTATCTAAAAATGATTCAAATATTATATATGTATCCATTATCAAAATACAGTGATAACGATGGATAAAATAATCAAATGTCACTCAAAAATATTTTTATTTAAAAATAAATATCCCTAAATCACCTTCTGTCCATGAATAAAAATAGAGGGAAGTAATGATACGTATCCTCTGTGGTCCCCGCTCTGCTGTGTTGGTATTTTTGGGGTCACAGGCTGAAATGTTTGTGAACCTGTTATCTAAAGCATTTTAGCAGAAATGTGGCACCTTGTCTGAAAGCTGTAGTAGAGCCAAGTTGTACCTGTCTGTTTGATTTATAACTACAGAGAGGGGAGCCAACTCTCCTGCTGATTGGATGGATCAGACATTTCAGGTCTGTGTAAAAAGGTTGATTTTTTTATGACCAGCAGAGGGCAGTAAAGCAGCACAGGGTGGTGCTGCTTCTCCAGAGGATGGATCACTCACAGAGTGAGTAGAGCAAAGTCTGTGATGATGGAGGTTTGTTTTTAGCCCTTTATACATTGATTATAAAACATTCATGATAAAGAAGTGGAATCAGATGCTTTCCACTTGTCCCACAACGCATCCACATCATGAATATTCACTTACCTGTGCACAGAGGGGGCTCATCATTCCACCCAGTTTCTTCGCAAACTATTTCAGCGGCACCCTCTAATCTGAAACCATGGTAACAGGAGTACAGAGCGGTCAATTTGCCAGATTTGGAGGAAAATATAAAATCTCCATTCTTGATCTGCCTTGGAGAGCCACACAGTTGCAGGTCTGAAACAGGGAGGGGAAAAGTTTTCACTTTAATGTGTTTTTTTAACCACTGCAGTGATTTAATTCATCAAGCTTTCAAAGATCACCATGACTCTTCTCCTCTCTCCAGGCCTCCAGCCTCATGGACGGTATCTCACTGCAGGGAACATAAGCAGCAGGGTACTGACCAAACCTGAAGGGATCTTCAGGGATCTCCTGTATGTCTGTGTTGTCGCAAATAATTCGAGAAAGAGAAGATTTCAAAAGCTCCTCCTTCTGCTGCTGAGTGAAAACACCTTCGGCTTCCCACCAAAACCTTAGGAAGAAGAGCAGAAAATGCTCACCTGAAGCCTTCTTCAGTTTTGAATCCATCGTGAATGTTATTGTACCTGTCACCGTCACGGAGAGACTTCATTTGCTTTCCGATCAGACAGGCAAACAGCGGACCGGTTCTAGAGCCTGGGAGGATGGTTTCCACGAGTCCTCCAAGCCAAACATCGATGTTGTTTGGATGCTTGTAAAGATGAAGTATCTTCTCAGCAACTCTGCGATCCCCAACCGCTTCTGCGAGGTCATCCAGTGTAGCTACGCGCATCAAGCCACATAATTCCCTCCACTCGTTGTATCCTGAAAAGTTCATTTGAGCATTATGTTAAAAATTACTATAATATTTGGGACTTTGTGTGATTTTCCACTGAACGCATCACATTCGGGGTTCCTCAGGGCTGACCTGTCGGGTCACTTTCATTCCATATTTTCAAATCAATTCAGTTTATTTCTATAGCTCCAATTCACATCATGTCATCTCAGGTCACTTTCCAGTTCACCAGATCATCCAGTCAGATTGATTAAAAGTTTTCTATCTAAGGAAAACCAGCTGATTGCACCGACTCATTGACTCTTCAGCAATCCCTCACACTAAGCATGCTTGTAGCGACAGTGGAGAGGAAAAACTCCCTTTGAACAGGAAGAAACCTCCAGCAGAACCAGGCTCAGTGTGAGCGGCCATCTGCTGAGGCCCACTGGGGTTCAAGGAGACAGAAGCAGACATAGAAAAAGAAGCATAGATACAAAAGGCAACTGTCAACCAGCTCCACAGGCGGCCCCGTCCAGGAAACACACAGCCAGGCAGACGAGCTAAAAATATCTGGCTGTCACAATCTGTGGCTATAATGATAATAACACTTTTGATGCAGCAAAAAAACAAAACAAAAAAAACAGTAGGAAGACTAACTCTCGTTAACCCCGACACCATTTATATTTGAAAAATAACTCAATCAAATTAGACGGCATCAACCTGACTGGAGGGAAAATTCTTTAGATATAAATATCATCTAGATATTTTTCCATTCATTTTCATAATTAAAAAAAAACCTGTTCATAGCTACAAACAAACAAAAGAAGAAGCAGCGATAACTTTGAAAGGTTAAAGATATAACCTTTTATATAAGCTTTTATATTCAGGAAGTAATTTTGATGTTGGTGCATAAGCGACTCAATGGTGTGAAGTTGGAATCCATCTCAGCCGGTATTTAGGGCGACGCCATCTTCTAACTGAAAGCAGTCAGAGTGATGGATGAGGTCAGATCATTATCACTTTAGTAACATGTCTTAGCAAACTAAACAGAAAATAGCTCTGACTGGATGTCAGAGGGTAGAAATATTGGAATGTGGAAACATTTTTGCATCTTTAAATTCATGCAGTCAGTTGGTTTCAAAGAAACTGGCTTGGATTCAACAAGAGGCTTGAAAACTTGGAACGGATGCACCACTAACTGCTTTCGTTAGAAATGAATTATCCAATTAGGACGGTGGCAGCAGTCCAGCAAGGCGGTTATTTACAAAGGGAGCATCACAGAGTTTAATGTCTGACATGGAAAGAATGCTGACACTTCTAAGTGTTCTGAGATTACAGAGTAGAATAATCTGTTGCAAATGCCTTCGCTTCTGGGGTCCCTTTCGGCGCCTGGGGCTTTGGGTCTCCCGGCGCTGGACTCAGTGCTCTGGGGGAGGGGGGGGGTGCCTCTCCGGCTCTCCACAACCACTACTGAGCATTTTTTCTATGGTTAAAACTTTACATTCACAAGTTCACCCTCACAAACAACTACAGGTGCTAGGCTTCAGGTACTTAGAGATTCACTTCCAAACAGAAACCCCACATTCATATCTTCAGGTAACACAGAGTACATGTCAGACTTAATAATATTACTTTAGCGATAGTTTGAAGGTGTTGCTTTATTGTATATCTCGTACCATGTCTTTTGGTTGTGCTGTTCTTTTTTCATCTCATTGCAGGTGATGAAGCAGACTGAAAATGTTTTGTCATTGTCTCCTTCCTATCTCATCTTTCTTTCATCTTTTGTCCTTTTTTTTCTTTTTCTTTTTCCTTCTTCTTCTGTTTTTCTGCTCTACTTACATTGCAGTGTCCATATAAACTGTAAAACTCCCTGCATAATTATAATAAAGCAATTTATATGCATGAAACAAGTGGAGCAATATGGCAATTGCCATACTGCTCCACTTGTGAAAGTAAAATCTGTTGGGCCCTTTTGGCATCAAGACAATTATTCTTATTGCCACCTTGCCAGACAGGACACTGTTAAAAAACAGGATGGTGGCAGCAGTCCAGCAAGGCAGTTATTTACAAAGGGAGCATCACAGAGTTTAATGTCTGACATGGAAAGAATGCTGACACTTCTAAGTGTTCTGAGATTACAGAGTAGAATAATCTGTTGCAAATGGTTTCATTTCAACTTTAAAGGACATTGTACTAATAGAGGGTCAGGCAATGAGGTTGGTCCCTGAAGGCATCAGCGGAGCACAAACCTAAGCAGAAGACCAGTTCAGTACAATCAGGGAATTACATTTTTTTTCAGGAAAGAATATATTTTGTAAGTTAAAAGAAAATATATATAAAATGTGTTTTTACAATTTGTTTTTAAATATATTTTTTCACATTTTATTTTTCCAGATTGTATTTTTTCCCAAATGCATCTTTTTTTTTAGATTGAGTTTTTTTACGAATTGCATTCCTTTCAAATTTTGCCTTTCCTCTGAAGTGAGAAGCAACAACTTTTATTTCGCTGTGCGTTGACGTTAGCAACAGTGTGGTTTTTGGCAGCTTTTAAAGCTTTAGTCAGATGCATAAAAATGCTTATGAGGTATTTCATATGAACACCTCCTATAAACAAACATCATACAAATGTGAATGTATTTATTATGCATTTATTAATCATGTGTTTAGAAATCTATTTGATCTAATACTTATTTAAATTTTTTTATTATTTCCTTAGTTATAGAAATGCCAAAAATACGACGGAGTAATAGAGCATGGCTAGAAATTTGTTTTATTTTGAGGATAAAGTTGTAAAATTTGGAGAATAAAGTTGTAATATTATGAGAATGTAATATACATATATTGCTGTCGTATATCATCAAACAGCAACCCGTTTCAGAAAGAAAGCTTGGAGCTCCGCCCAGCAGATGACGGCCGACCAGCTCCACCAATCAGCAACCAGAGTCCACTTTGACATCCTGCCCAGTTTGATGCTGCTGCTAAAAGATTTCCTGATTTGTCAAACCGATGCTAAAGTAGAACTTCCCATGATGCTCCACATTCCTCATTCTAGGGAAGGAAGGGCTTCTTGGAAGAATTGACATAAAATACAACTTGTTTCTCGTAACATTATGACTTTATTCTCATAATTATATGACTTTATTCTCATAATATTACGACTTTATTCTCATAATTTTACGACTTTATTCTCATAATGTTACTTTATTCTGGTAATTTTACGACTTTATTCTCATAATGTTATGACTTTATTCTCATAATGTTACGACTTTATTCTCGTAATTTTACGACTTTATTCTGGTAATTTTACGACTTTATTCTCATAATGTTACGACCTTATTCTTGTAATTTTACGACTTTATTCTCATAATGTTACGACCTTATTCTGGTAATTTTACGACTTTATTCTCGTAATTTTATGACTTTATTCTCAGAATATTACGACTTTATTCTCATAATGTTACGACCTTATTCTGGTCATTTTACGACTTTATTCTCGTAATTTTGCGACCTTATTCTTGTAATTTTACGACTTTATTCTGGTAATATTACGACTTTATTCACGTAATTTTATGACTTTACTCTGGTAATTTTACGACTTTATTCTCATAATGTTACGACCTTATTCTTGTAATTTTACGACTTTATTCTCATAATATTACAACTTTATCGTCATAATATTATGACTAAATTCTGGTAATTTTATGACCTTAGTCTCATAATTTTACGACCTTATATTCATAATGTTATGACCATATTCTCGTAATTTTATGACTTTTTTCTCGTAATTTTATGACTTTATTGTTGTCATGTTAGGACTATTCTCTTTGCAACTTTATTCTCGTAATGTTACAACCTGTTTCCCATCCTGTTCAACTGAAGATCCGCAACTTGTCTGCTGCCTGGTTGCACTATGTGACTTAATTCAGATGACACCGTTTTAACCCTCCTCCAGCCCCTCCTCCTCCATTGTAGCTAAAACGTCATCAGAGCGTCTCAACTCCTGGACTCTTTCTGGATTCTGCGTCTCATCTTAACCGGTCCTGCAGAAGCCGCCATGTTGAGCCTGGTTCTGCCAGAGGTTTCTTCCTTACGGGGAGTTTTTTCTCTCCACTGTCGCTTCATGCTTGCTCATCATGGACAGGTTCTCTCAACCTGTGTTATCCAGCTGGACTTCCATCTTCCAGGTCCCTGAGTGAAGATCTGGTATCAGCTCACGCAGTCCTCTGGATCTCCCCATAAAGCTCAGCAGACCGTCTGGCTACCCATCCGTCTACAGACTGACCAACTTCATCTATCTCCACTCCACCACCAGTTTCAGACCTGGGGGGGAAAACAGCTCTTTTCTTTACTCCTGTTCATGCATATCTATCAAAAATAGGTGCAGTGTTTCCTGCTGAGGTCCAGTGGTGTCAAAAGTACAAACATTTGTTACTTAAGTAGAAGTATAGATCCTGCAGTTTAAAAACCCTCTGGCAGAAGTTGAAGTATTAACTTGACCCCTTTACTCAAGTAAAAGTGGAAAAGTATGAGCTCCAAAAACTACTTAAAGTATAAAAGTATAAAGTAACCTTTAAAAAAACAACCAGATGCCATTATTTGAATTGAAAGCTCAATTTTTCGACTATTTCTACTACTACTATAATTCTTTGAGATAGGGCCAAGGATGAGGGAGGTCTGGTTGGTCTCCGTCTCCCGATACGCTCTCGCCTGTGTCCGACCTTTCAGACATTTCAACATCTTTTTCTGAATCCCACATTGTAGCATGGCATAGACAATTCACGTTAGCAGTTTGAAGAACACCTGCTTGCTTCTGATGATTTCCTTTAGCTAACCAATGAGTGCTTGCGTTCTATGACTCATCCAATCACACTAGTTTTCACTAGATGTGGGTGGGGCCAATGATCTGCATTGGATGGAGCACATGACGGGAAATAAATATCTATAAACATTAAACCGAAGCCAAGAGGAACGAGCAACGTTTGATTTAAAAATGTAAGGAATAGAAAGTACAGATACTTGTGTGAAAATGTAATAAGTAGAAGTCAGAAGT